CGAATTTTTGGATCTTCGCATATTATCTTTTTATTACGGAGAAAATTGTAGTAAAAATTATTACAAAAATTTGTAATACCGGAGAATATCAGAATTATTATCGAAATTATTATGTATGTTGTGTTTTCAGTGATATATATACATAATATACATCACTAAGGATTACAATACACAACATAATTTCAGTCTGGTATGGTTCAGCATAACAAAATTTTGTGGTAATTTCTACTACAATATTTTCTCCGTGTAACGAACAACTCGGTGAATTTTAATCATGACAAAATTAATTCCGAACAACTGTGAGGAGGATTAACAAATTCATTAATATCAAATGACATTAAATAACATATATTAATAAACATCATGAAATAAATGCGGGAAAATTGAGGATCATTCACGATTTAATTTAATCTTTACTTTTCTCCTCGATTCCGCTTCTGATAAAAATAAAAAAGAAAGAAAGAGGGGAGAGGGAGTGCGTCGTTCAAAATAGGAATAAAACTGAGACTGGTTTCACAGAAAAAAGAAATTAGCTATCCATATAATACAACTGAAATTTAGTTACCAGACCTAACTTTTGGCTGTGGGAGCTAAAAACTAGATACAGGGACAAAAAGAATTAGCTGAGTTAACTAAATTTCAGTTGTATTATGTGGACAGCTCATTTTTATCTGCGTGAGCTAATTTTTAGTTATGGGAGCTAGTTTTTAACTATAGGAGCTACTTTTTTTACATGTTATGAGAGCAACTATTTAGCATCGGAATCTAAAAGTATATTAAGCGCCATAACGGCTTTAACATTTTCGAGGCTTAATGATAATAGAATTTTTCGGTCACACGCAATGAATTGACATATTCGTGCATTATGACTATTGATTATTCCGTAAATCGGCAAGGATGCTCCAAGGTAGCACGAATATGTCGATTCATTGTATGTGATTGAAAAATTCCATTGTCAGTAGACCTATTAAGGTTATTATGGCGCTTAGTGTACAGCGAAACTGCTCTCCGAGGCTGTACCGTATTAATCCCCATAGAAAAGAGACGGCCGTGAAAATCGACAAGAGAGAGAGATGCGCGTAGCGGTTGTCGGCGCCGGTGTAATAGGAGTAACGAGCGCGCTCGCGGTGAAAAGCGCTTTTCCGAGCTATAACGTGAAGATCTTCGCCGACGCGTTTTCACCTGACACCACCGGCGATGGGAGCGCCGGTCTGTGGAGTCCTTTTCTTCTCTGTGACACGCCTGCCGAGGATATATAGTGAGTACATCTCTTTTGTGTCCTTCCCTAACAGAAAGAAAAAAGAGAAGAGAAACGTATCGTGACTACCTGAGATCGCTCGTTGTCAGGAAAACGAACCGGGAATCTCGCGGGGAAGATTGTCGAGCACTCTTCTCTTCTCGTTATTTTCGCGCGAATATAACACGAGCGATAACATGCAAAACGCATCTTTAATGTTTAATCAACGTCGCGACCCAATTAATATCCGAATATCCTCACATCGTGTAGCATTCCTGAATCGAAATTTTGGTCCTACATTAAGTTTACTTAGTTCTATATTAAGTATTTAGTCTTTTTTAAATAAAAAAAATAGAAACAACTTCCTATTTGTAGCATTAAAAGGAGCACCTTTGATACTATCTGGGTAGAAATTAATCAAAGCGTACTTCAAATGTAGTGGCCCTAGATAGGCATGCCCCAAAATAGGTCTGCCTTTATAGGACCTAAATATAGCCTAGAAAGGCAAACTTTAAATGGAATTTCGTGAATAGCTCCTGAATAAGCATCGATGGATGCCCTTAACAAAGCCTATGGCTCACAGGTCCCAGTCATGACTTAATAAAAAAATTAATTGTCAATTTTAACATTTTTTGTATGTCTCAGAATCCATTCTAAATTTTATGTTAAAATAACATATTCGTCGCGTGTTATTTCTTAATATACTGAAAATTTTAATTAGACTTTAATTATTTTGACACAAATACATTTTGTTTTACATTTATATATGTTGTTTCAACTTAAAATATGATGTTAGAATAACACAAGGAATAGTTTAAAAAAATAGACATAGTAAAGAAGTAGTTAAATAATAACTTGTAAAAAATATAGCTGGAACATATCTGTGTAATGTGAATAAAATAAATGTTACATTTTAATTTATAAAAAATTTTTTTTTTTCTCATGTTATAGATTGTCTCGACATAGCCTCGATCTTGCGTTCTTCCTATTGTTACATACAGGGTGTCCTAAAATAGTCGGACAATTTTTTTTTAATTACGCCGGCTAAAATAAAGATAGAAATACATATTTTAGCTCAAATGAAGGTTTATTGAGTGAGGTTATTGACTATAATACAACATTATTTAAATGGCGCCCTTCAACAACGACGCGTTCGCGAAGTCGATCGACGAAGTTTTTTAACACTTTCTTCAACATAGATATAGATATCACAGCTATTTTCTCCTCAATTCGACACTTCAGGTCATTAATGGTTCGTGGTTTCGTCGTGTAAATTCGTGATTTTAAATAACCCCATAGGAAAAAATCAGGAACCATTAAATCTGGCGAGCAAAGTGGCTGATTGAAGTTGGTACCGCGGGAGGTAAGTCTTGTGTCAAACGCTTTGCGCGATAATATGAAGATTTAAATTGCTGGCATACGGCGATTTTATACGGATGAAAGTGCAAGTCCTTCTGCAGAATGCGGAAGGTTGTTTCGACTGAAATATTACATCTAGGCCTGTTTTCGCAGAGAATGCTTAGGAGAACGCTATATAGCACAGATGCACGAATACGTTCAATATTTTCCGGCATTTTTGCAATTTTCGACCGACTAGAAGAGCGTTTGTTACTTGCATAGGCTGTTTTCCGAAAATTTTGAAGCTATCTCTTTATCGCGGCCTGGCTTAGTACAGGTTTTGAAGGAGTATTAAGTTTTTTTGCGAAACGTTGCACGTTTTGCACGTTGAACGTCGAGTTTCGAGTTTCGACGCGTAAACATTCGTACTTCTGCGGACCACACTTCTATTGTTATTGACAATAAAAGGTATCAAAAGCTCGTACCTTAATCTATAAATTAAGCACATGAGCACATATATATCTCATCAGAGGACAGCATAATTCAAAAAAGAAAACTGTCCGACCATTTTGGGACACCCTGTCTAGTCCTATGCTTACCTACCTAACTACGTTACGCAGCGCTACTTATATTTCTTTTATGTTATATATAAATGAAATTAACTTAAATTATTCCCAATAGAAATATTTTAGTTAATTTGACTACTTCATATGTGAAAGTTTATGACCTTATTTGAAGATTCACTTTAACTTACCGTTAATGTGAAAATAATAAAAAAAAAAATCTCTTAAAATAATTATGTTAAAATAACTCCAAATAATGTTTCATTTTTAAACACACAAAAATGTTAAATTACTAAATTGACATAAAATTAATACATGAAAACATCACGAAAATAATGTAACATATGAGCTGTGTGTTAATTTGACATTGAAATTTTAGTCAAAAGTCGATAATACAAGAAAATTTTAACATTGGATGAAATATTTTTTTACTGTATAGTCAGATGGATTTACAAAACTAGCTTTAAATTGTACGAACGTTATATTTCTGTGTAAAGCCTAGATAGAAGTGAGGAAAAATTATGTCTTTTTAGCGCTCGTTTCAAATTTCTACCCGGATATAAAGGGAATTTAGTCATCCCGGGGAGAAATTTTAAATTTTACATTAAGTCTTCAAATAGAGAAAACGTAAATAGTTTTCTATTTGTAGCATCAAAAGAGCACAATAGAAGACCTTTGAAGATTTAACGTAAAACTGAATAGACTTAATATAGAATTAAAATTTCAACTCGAATTAGCCGATGGGCCGGCTGCACTCATCGTTGGTTCGAGCAATTATGGAAGGACGGATTATCGTTGGATAACGGTGTCTGTCTAATGCCAGTGACTCGCGTTCTAAGCGACCAGGAATATGATACCGATCAGGTATGGGCCAAACACGCCTACGGCGCCCAGAAACTCAGTGGCGAGCAATTACGTCGTCTGAACGAGGAGCACAAATCTAATTACAAGTACGTTCTCGTCAACTTCGGAGAACTGTAAACTGAAGATCTCTTTCGCTTCTATAGAAATGCTCTGTCTGTCTAACGTTCGTGATACGCTTTGAAATTGAATTATTATTGCAACTATTTACCCGAATAAATCGCCTCATTACCATCTTAATTATTACTTATATTTCTTGCCGGTCGTATTTAAAATGTCAAACTGACGGTTTCAGGACAGGTTGGCATTTTCTAACGTACACTGCCGAGCCGGTTCTGCTGTTACCGTGGCTCATGAAAAAGTTCAGTATTCTCGGCGGAAAGACGGAGAGTAAGAACGTGAAAGCGTTGCACGAGTTGGCCGAGAAAGGGTACGATTTGATAATAAATTGCAGCGGGCTCGGTGCACGAGAACTCGTTGCGGATAAAACGGTGACACCTATCAGAGGTCAGGTATACAAGGTAATCGACCGTCCAATTTGCAGCGTATCTCTTTCTTTCTTCTGTCCAGATCCAAGTAATCGCTCGCGAAAGTTATGGTTGCAATTATGAACTCGCGTTTCAACGCGAATGTGGAAGTATTGCAAATTTAAGTATCGATCATTTCACTCAAAAAAATATTTACCAAAATACTATTTAAAGATTCAATTCAAAAACATTTTTTAGCTAAAAGCTGTTCAGCTAAAAGCTTTCAGCTAAAAGCTTTTCAGCTAAAAACTCTTCTTCTTGACAATACGATAAACCTATTTTTTTCTTTTCTAACATATCATCATTTGACATCGTCTTATTTACACGCGAGCAGAGCAATTAACGTGGGGAAATCTGTTTAAGGTAAAGGCACCTTGGACGAAGCACTGTTTACTGGTGGACGACGACGAGACCTATTATATTATACCTAAGTAAAGCGAACGCTAATAACGTACATTTACGTATACTATATACTAAAAGAAAAAAAATGCTACATTTAAATAAATATTGGAGTAATTATTTTACTTGTATTAAGTAAATATTACTTGAACGTAGCATTTTCTTTTTTCAGTGTGCTATATTCGATAATAAATATTTTAATAATAATATATAATATATATTATATAATATTTATACTTAATCCAAATAAAATAATTACTCCAATATATATATCTTACAACTCCAATATGTATTTCAACTATTTATTTGAATATATCATATTTTTATCTTTCAGTGCACTATGTCAACGATCTCGCTTATTTTAATTTCTCTATCCGCAGCGTCGAGGACGTCGTGCTGGGGGGCACGCATCAAGAAAACGACTACGATTGCACCGTTCGTGAAGAGGACTCGGAGCGCATTCACGCTGGATGCTGCCGCGTGATGCCGTCTTTAAAGGTCTGCGGTACACTCGACATAAATGAATCCCCCGAGTTTGCTGAGCGACGTAAATCACGACTCAATCATAATTCCCGTTGCAGGCGGCTCAGATAAGTCGCGCGTGGGTGGGCCTTCGACCAGGACGACCGCGTGTTCGTCTGGAATGCGAAAACCTCCGTGCGCCCACGGGAAAGGAGTTCAAGGTAAATCGCCAGAAAATATTGCACTCAAAGCCGAAACGTCCGTTGCATGCATGCATGCGAGGCGAGACGAGTTCTCGTCTAACAGCAACGACGGCGACGTGAATCGTCGCGTTTCGCGTCTCCCTCGCGAGCGTAATACACATGAAATCATCAATACAATACAGTCGCCGTATTCGCCTCGCTCGTGCTACAATAACGCTCGCTTGTTTCGTGCCTTTATACTTCAGGTGATACACAATTACGGCCACGGTGGAAGTGGCGTGACGCTATGCTGGGGGTGTGCCGTGGACGTCGTGGAAATGATAAGGAACTTGAAAGTACCCGAATTAAACTCCAAACTGTAACTCCAGGGACAGAGCGAATAAACTTTTTATCCTTCGTAAATTTTTACCCGCATAGTCGCTTCCAACCTTCTTTCAAGCCTTTCCTTCCCCCGCCGCGTCGCGCGCAGTCGAGAGAGTCGTGTCGTTGAATATTATTTCCAGTGGATCCAGCTTTGTGCGCTCTTTTAATTGTCGGTTGAAATTTTCAGGCCGGAATTAAATTTGCGTCGAGACCTTGTTCCATATCTCGTAACGAGCGAGGCACTCGGACTCGCATTTGCAACGGAGCCCATCGCCCGTCCGTTTCGCGCTCCGCCTCTACTTATTTTCAAACACTTGATCGATATCTCGCGGCAATTTTTACCTCGAGTCCCTGGTTTGCCGCGCTTCGCGTAACGACGGACGAAAAGTCAACATAATTAAACGTCAAGAAACAAGCGTGAGAGCGCGTGCGAGCGAGCGTTCAATCTGCCGCGCAGCAGCAACCTATTTAAAGTTTCGTGTCGTGATTACTTCCGTAACTATACAGTTTCGAAATATGCTCGTCGGGCTGTAATTAAAGCACCAAACCGAACTACCGAGATATTTTACGTGTAGACTGTGCCGCAGTAGTCGCGTCAAGCCAGATGTCGTCGTCGCGACGCGTGCTCCCAGCCCAGTCGCAGCGCCGATCTTTATCGGTTTCGTCTATTTTCCCCAGCGAGAGCGGCAGTTAGTGCCTTATCGTCGTCGAGATTAAACGGGAATATCGCGAATATCGACAGGTATGCAGACTATACCGGTAACATCGACCGAATGTCTCGTGTTTTGGAAAATTTCGAGTCGATTTCCGCTCAAAGAAATCCTCACGACAAACCGTTCTTAATCTTTTTCTCCCTTTTTAACGTTCTAACACATTCTACCGCAATCTATTTTATATATTTTATATTACTTTTCTTACATTCAACGTTTTTCATATGTAAGCGCGCGAATATTAAATAAATAATAAATGACGATATGTAAGCGCGCGAATAATAAATAAATAATAAAGGACGATGGGTAAAATGGGCCTATTTTAGCTTCCGGAGTAGTAAGTAAAAACGATATCTTTTATTGTTTTTAAGTTGCTGAATTTGATTCTGACCTTTAAACAATTTGTCGAGAAAGTATTAAAATCAGCATATGAAACTATTAAACATCTAATACCGTAAATTATTATTGTTGACATGTTTTACGAATGTATCCATTTATGTTTTCTTGCTAGTAGAAAACATGGTAATGTTCTCATCTTTGATAGTTCATCTTCAAATCAGTCCACGCTCGTGCACTCTGTACAGTAGAACCTCTTTACAGTCATACTCTCGGGACCAAAATGAGACAATTAATTTTGTTTCAACGTTTTATTTTTTTCTTTCTTATGCATATATTCTTCTTTACACAATATATAAATTTCTATCCATTAAAAGTACTTTACTATTGTAATATTTTACTATTAAAAGTTATAAAATCTACACAAGAAATATTTTTAAGCACTAAAATCCATTTTAATCGAATGGAACCTTCTTCATTTATTCATTTACGTTACTCACATATCGGTCAATTTTTACTTAATATTGTTTTTTTTTTTAATTTTACACCTTTATTAACATATTATTCTCATAATAGCTTCTTATATATACATATATATTTGATAGCTTCATATACGGATTTTAATACTTTCCTAACAAATTAAATTCTTTTAAAGGTCAAGATCAAATTCAGCAATTTAAAAATGATAAAAAAACATGCCGTTTTTACTTGCTGCTCTGGAGACCAAAATCGGCTCATTTTATTCATCGTTCTTTGTAAAATTTCAAATTATTACATACACGTAAATATTGTATATGTGAAATTTAAATTATTGCCGACGTAATGATGTATTATCATCATTGAAATATATCAAGTACAACTTAATGTTATACATTAATTTAAATATTGCCAACTCCTACAAACAGCTTTTCGGAATGCTCAAAAAGTTGAAAGTGGAGAGCTTGAATATGGCAGATGGTAAACGGTGAGAGATCCGTGGCGAACTTTCGGAGATTACTGTTACAAAAATCTGTCGATGTTTAAGCGGGAAGAGAAAATAAAAACATTACCAATTCGCGCGAACGACTAAGGAAGATGACATGTGATTTATCGTGTCTTGCCGGGCAAATGTAAATTAGAAAAAGATTAAATTCAGGCTAAATTTGACATGCGGGACTTGATTGGCGTCGTCTTTGTTGTCATAATTGCACGTGCGCCATGTGACAGCACGATTAAAAGAATCAAATAATGGAAAGCACCGATCATGATCATCGTTCAACGCAGTGATAACTATTACACGTCAGCGATATCGTGCGGATCTAAATACGATAGTTTCAGAAGCGAAGGTGCGACAGACGACGAAAGTGTCAGCGAGTCCGATACCAGTTTCGCGGAGCGATCCCGTGAATCCGCATTTCCAAATTGGAATTCTATCGTTCCCGACGACTCCTCTCACATCTCATCGCGCATAAACGACAGGATAGGTGTGATCAAGCATGATCCCGAAAATTGTAAATGGAAGGTTACAATGGACAAAAGCGAAAACACAGGTATGTCCTCATTTGATACTAAATCTGATAGAACTGATAAAGAAAGTAAATAAATTTTAAAGCTATATTATATATATATATATANTATATATATATATATATACTACTTTACTTATTCTACTTTACTTATGCAATGTTTATTATATCCAAAGAAGTATACGAAATGTTCAAATACCTCGTAGCCCCGGTCTACATGAATTGCTACTACACACATCTTGTCTCTCTCTACGTCTATCAACACGGTTTCGATTCCATGCTTCGTCCAGTACTACGTATCGATGGTTGATGCAATTTTTTAGAATGACTTTGCATAACATGATAAGAAAATTCGGACGGGGAAATTGTTTTTGTCATATCTAAGTGATCATTACATGAATCAAGAGTTTTTCAAAATAGAGCCGTTGTATGAGGAGAGCAACACGAAGCGGTGTAAGGGCGACACGGTGGAAACTTTGCGGATGACGAAGAAGAGGAAGCGCAGGTACGTTGTCAATGTCACTGTACAAAATCAATTCGCGACGTTTCGCGACGTTCGTTCGCCTGTGAGCCAAGAGACTGAAGCTACTGATTGCAAAGCAGATTCTTGACCATCTGCACGAGCAGCTGCAAATATGACGTGGTTAGACGTGTGGCCGCGCAGTTCGGGATGAAGGAGGTCACAGAGGACAGCAGCTGGGACCTCTATTGGACCGATTTGAGTATCAGCATAGAGCGCACCAAGGATATGAAGAGGTTCCAGAGAGTCAATCATTTCCCCGGCATGACGGAGATATGTAGGAAGGATCTGCTCGCTCGTAACCTCAATCGCATGCTCAAACTGTTCCCGCGGGACTATAACTTCTTTCCGAAGACCTGGTGCTTCCCTGCGGAGTAAGAGATTTATTCGTTTCGATAGTATTAACACCGATTTTACACCGGGAGAGACGTTTAATTAACGCTGTCAATGTTCTGGTTAACGAAAACGAGTTTTTCCGCGTTTCAAATTCATCGGGATGAAAGATGGTCGAAAAAAATTTCGCGCGATCACCTCGTTCGTCGGATGCTTGCTATCGTCACGATCGTATTATTTAATAATTTGTTTGTTTATTATTCAAATAATAAGTCATTTTTATTATTATATACTTTATTATTATGATATATTAATTTATTTATTTATTCAATAAATAACTTTTTCTATATTTATTCATTAAATAAATTTAAATTTATATTTCAATATTATTTAAATATTAAATATTTACATCACAAAAGTTTTGCTAAGATATTCCTTATTTTTTTCTCCACTCGACTTTATACTCAATTTTAGTATCAGATTAAAATATTCGTCAACCTGATTACAAATATATATATATATATATATGTCTTAACGTGTAGTCATTTACCCTGTTCCAGAGAAAATGTGCTCCAAAGTTTCAATCCCAACAAATGAAATAATCACCATCTGTCAGGGTTGAAATCTTTGGAGCCCATTCTCTCTGCAATGGTAAATCGCTTAATTATCTTAAGACATATATAGTAATCAGCTTGGTAAGTACTTTGATAATCTGATAGTAATCTGATACGAAATGTAATCTAATACGAAAATTGGATACAAAATTGAGAGGAAAAAAATAGGAAACATTGTCTACGGACGTTTGGCCGAACTCTTTAATTTATTTATTAAATAATTAAATAAATAAATTCTTTAAATAATGTACCTTTGTCGCGATTGTTCTTTCAAAGAAAGGAAGAAATATGCCTCGGGCGACCTAATTTTGAAGATCTAACTTATCGATATCCGTGTATATTTAATTAAGATAGCGATAATTACAGACGGCGCGGTAAAACATCGTATTGCGATTCCTCCAGCCGGTCTCACATGTCGTGATAAAGAACACATGCGCGGCTGTGGCCGATCAAACGATCGGCGGCGCTCTTATCAATTTTAGAAGCGCGAGACTCACGTTCTGTTTTACTTCTTCGAATGGCCGGTCTCAGATTACGAGTCGTAAATTCCGAGGGGTCGCCGTTACCGGCGATAAAAAGTAATCGATACCGTGCGAAGCGGCGATGTGAGAGGCATTTAAGCGGATCTCGGAAACTCATATTTTGGATTTCAGTTACGGTGACGCGATGACTTATGCTAAGTCGCGTAGATCAAGAACTTTCATCATCAAACCGGACACAGGCTGCCAAGGACGAGGTATCTACCTAACGAGGCACCTGAAGGATATCAAACCCAGCGAGCGCTTGATCTGTCAAATATACATCGCACGGGTATGGAGACACGTTATTATTTCTTTCCGCGGTATACATAAAAATTATAATTCATAAACTAAAATTTTATACTTGTATAATGAATTTTTCCCTGGAATTTTGCGTAACCTAATTATAAGTAAGCCTGATTGCGTAAGTTTTCCAATTAGAAAAAGACAAAAAAGAAATAAATTTCGTTTCCACGATTCTAAAGTCCCTATTTCCTCGTTGCACTCATCTTGATTAATGACTTCAGAAACGAGAAAACGTATATCCCGAATCCAGGCGGAAATATGTTGAAGTAAAAAGATTTTTCCATAAAATGATACTTGCAACTGAGTATATATTTGCAAAATATCATGAAAATTTCCTCTTTTTTTACTTTAGTAATAAATAAATATTTATAAAATTAACATGGCAAAATCATGAGAAAAGATACTAAAAATGAAGTTTGCATCTCACGTTAATTTACGGTTATTTATTGAATGTTAAAGCAAAAAGAAAGTTTTTAGAATATTTTATAAATGTGCTCAATTGAACGCAAGTGTCATTTTACAGATATATCCTTTTATTTCAACGTATTTCGCAAGAATTTTAGACGTATGTTTTTTTCGTTTTGACGTCATCAAACAAAACGACTGCAGTAAGGAGCCAGAAACCTAAAAGATGTGTGTGCACCTAGCAAACGAGCAACGAACAAACAATGGACACAATGTATAATGTATAACTGCGCACGAATTTTCTTCAAAATCGTCTGATAAACCATTTTATGAATAAATTTGCCCGAAGAGTCCCGTTCGAATTTATTATGATATATACGCATTTTTTTAATATGACAAAAGTTTTCATTCGCTATTCGTTCGTTATTCATTCGTTAGGTATATACGTATCTTACGATACGCTGAAATCGTGTTAGACTAGTTCGGTTTACTTTCTTTCCAACATACACCTGTATGTGTACCGTAATGTAATTAAGAACATCGCAGTTGCAGAGCAAAGCAAGCATAATGCATAAAGTACTTTTTCTTATCGCATCCTTAGCCCTTCTTAATAGACGGATACAAATTTGATCTACGTATTTACGCACTAATCACGTCATGTGATCCTCTCAGGATCTACGTTTACAACGAAGGACTCGCCAGGTGAGAGGGTGTATGCACTCGCAATACTCGATTACGAAATAGAAATCATCTAACAAGTAGATATTTTTTTGTTACAAGCGAATCTCTCTGATCGTCACGCATACGTTTTAACACGTTGACTGCCGGATTTATTTCCATTTCCATTGTACTAACGTCTAACGGATGATTAACATGTTGAGTGCTGCATGAGCTATCAGTGGCTCACGTTGAACTCTCTTCAGGCCGCATAACGCATATATTTTACGTTACTTCTTCTTCATAATAATGAATTCTATAGTCTTATAAATATTATATTTATATATAATATTCTCTTTCTCTTCATAATGATTTTGTAGTTTTGTAAATATTTTAAGATATATCTTACAATAACATGTGGTAAAGTGGGCCATCAGTGGCCCACGCGGCATAAATGGAAAGTCATGTGAAATTGGCGCGGCTCTTAACATGTTAAAGTAAAGATGCAGTAATTACACAAAATGTACTAAAATCAAGTAAAGTCAAGTATAATTACCTGCTTTTCTGCCTTTTAAGTGAAATAATATTTTTATCAATTTAAATAGCTATATATTTAATAGCAATATATTTTAATAGCTTCTGGTAAATGCTTATTTGAACGCAGTAATATCTTATTTAGCAAATGAATTACTGAATATAAGTGTAAAATAGTTCCAAATTTGATAGAGCATTTACCAGAATTATATGTAATAATGTTTTTCTCCATTGAAGAAATCTAGTGGTTTTAAATTTAGATTTTTCTGTCCAGTAAACATTTTTTTGAAAAATAAATCCTAATAGTGTCAATATTATGAATTTATTACTTGTTGCAACTTTTAACATAAACAAGTAAATATCTACTTATACGAAGGAAATATCATATTGTATATAGTAGATTATATTTCTATTTTTTAGTAAATATTTTCCAAGGAATATTGGGATCAATCATTTTACTTGGGCCAAGTAAATATTACTTAAACAGTAGCACTATTTTTTCAATGTAAATATAATTCAGAGTACATATCTCTTACCTAGTTTCATTAGCTCTTTATTGTCCGTACAGTCTATTTTATAGATGAGATTAGTTATATTTCATATGCAACTTAACACGAGACGTGGTAACATCACAGTGCCAATCACTGATGACCCTCATAGGTCACGGCATTCAACGTGTTAATTATCACGACTCAATCACTGCGGATTTCCAAGTTTCGTGCACGTCTACGCATTGTCGATTGGATTTGCTTTTCGAGATTATAGCTAAATTCGTCTTGCACGCTTTCGTGCTGAAAATATCGTTCTATCTTCTTTTAGCATGTAATAAAAAATAAAGATAGAATGACGCTTTCAGCACGAAAGCGTGCAAGACGAACCATATGCACGACGCACCTGCTGGGAGTGCGAAGAACGTTGCATTTTTAGATTCGCGACGAGCAAATACAAAGAACCGACCGGTCACAATACCACCAATATGTTCATGCACCTGACGAATTACGCTATCAACAAGCATAGCCGAATGTACATCATCGACGACCAGATCGGCAGTAAAAGGTTCGCACTTGAAACCCCCGTACTCGAGTCGAAATTTTAACGTTACTTTGATATTTTTAACCCTTTGATTGCGTATGATGGTTATATTCGTCTTAAAAAAGTACTTTCTGTTGCGCACGCCGTATATTTCCGTTGTTCTTCATTTATGTACAACAGATATATACGGTGCACCGCGGCGGAACAGCGGGCGCAAAGTCAACATAAATGTTACATATTATTTACCCTCTTTGTGTTTTATTAAATCTTGTGAACATAATACCCTACTTTGCTTTAAATAAGCTTCTTCAGTGTCACACGATGGAATCTCGTGTCGCACATTGCGAATGTTTTTTGTCTAGTGCACCCAGTTGAAAGATTTGCGACTATTTAGAAGACCTATAAATTAGAGCAAACTTATTTTGACGATACTGACGTTTGTTAATTTCTCTATCGAATCTTTAATTCAACAGATTTAATTTTAATTCCTCCTTGGCTAACCTATTTTGACGCTAAAATAGAAAAGATAAAAATTTCAGATATCATCATAGTCAAAGCAAAAAAAGTGATATTTTTAGGATTGAAATTGAGACTATTTTGCTATCTTAGCCACTGCTGTGTTGTAGAATTAAATATTTAATATAGGGTCAAAATTTCGACTCGGCTAGAATTAATAATTTATATAATGTCCGTTTCTACCATCATGGTTTAAATGTAATCAACGAATTAACTTAACGAAATTGGTCAATCGCATTGATCAATTCAGCTAATTGACCAATGCGATGTGTCAACTCGATTCCATCTAGTTGATTACATTTAAACCATGATTGAAACGGGCGTGAGATAAATGAGTCAAGGACGGAATGGAATATGAATTGCGTTTTACAGGAAGATTTCGGTGTTAAACAAGTGGCTGAGAACGCAAGACGTCGACGTGGATGAATTATGGGGCAAGATCGATGAGATCATAATTAAAACCGCGCTCGCTGCGTATCCCGTGTTAAAGCACAGTTATCACGCGTGCTTCCCTACGCATGACAAGACGTCCGCGTGCTTCGAACTTCTAGGATTTGACATTCTGATCGATTGGAAGCTCAAGCCTTACCTTCTTGAGGTAGGTCTTTGAAAATATATATATTAACTCTTGATATACCCAGTTGTAGAATTAATTAAATTAGAGGACTAATTTATTTCATTTAAAAATGCAAGTAAATTTTTACTTTGTTTCTGGGAGATCTCTAAGAAAGAATAAAAGTATCATGAAATATCAATCTATACAAATAAATATTGACTGGTTTAATAAGTTCGTGCAAATTTTAACAAAAAGCTGATATTTTTTTTGTAATTGGATATAACTTGATTCAATATATATTGTAATGTATTGATCGTTTTTTTGATAACAGTCCATCGAAAAAAAACAAAAAATTTATGTTCGATTATTGACATAAGTTGGCATGATAAATTTTTCGTAAAAATCTGAATAAACTTATCGAGAAATCAACTCAATATAACTGCTAAAAAGGAAAGTTGAAACTCAACATTACGTTCGATGGACACTGATGATATAGAAGAAGTAGAAAAGTTAAAAAGAAAAGTGTATCGTTAAATGTCCTGTGTATTTTTACGGAGCGTTGTAAAAATGATATATTAAACGCATTATGAATTATTATAAAGTGAACTATCATAAATTATCATATCCTAGCAAGTATAATAAGTTCTAAGGAGAATTAGGAAAAAAGTTTCGATAAAAAATAACTGTTTTTCGTTTGAAAAATGATCGATAAATTCATCACAGGTGAATCACTCACCAAGCTTTCATACAGACGCTCAACTAGATAAGGATGTGAAAGAGGGGCTGCTGATGGACACTTTTGATATATTAAATCTGCAACAATATGATAAGAAGAAGATAATAGAGGAGGACAGGAAGCGAATTAGGGAGCGACTTCTTCAGGGTATAAATGGGTAGGATTATAAATAAATCGAGCATCGAGGAACCACGATGATTTATACTTGCACGATTAATTTCTCGCCACATGCGAGTTCTGAGTACCTATTTTGATTAATCAATTTCTACTAATCTCTTGTGCAGAATTTATAAATAGAAAATATCAATGTATAGATTAATCGTAAAAAATGTTGCTGAAATCACAAAATGATTTATATGGTTCTTGGTATTGTAAGTCATACAAATTATAAAAAATGGTATCAGAGTTTTTAAGAAAATTTCAAGCAACTCAGCTTTATGACGCACCACTTTACGTAACCAAAAGAATAAAAAGACGCAATTTTTAATACAGATTATACTATACACTGGGAAGTTGCATCGCATCTAATTTATTCTCCAGATCTTGCCCCATCAGATTTTTACCTGTTTCGGTCGTTACATCATTTAATTAATGCATATTTTAAAATAATAGAAGATATTCGAAAATTTATCGACGATTTTATTGATTCAAAATTGCCAAGTTATTCTGTCGCGATGGTCCAGTTGGTAATAACGGAAATTATTATTTCGATAATTAAAATCATATACTTTCTATTGATAAATAAATTCTTTTTTTGATAACAAAAGCAGCGAATTAATTTACAGAAATACTGAAAAGAATAATGCTAGAATCAAGTAAACGTAATTAACTGTTTTTCAGTCTCTTAACCCTTTGTATGGCACATATTTTCTAACTGATGGATTTCTGTGAAATCTTGCAATTCTAGTTGTTTCAGTCACTGATTACAAATCTAAAGTCACATTTCAAAAATTTAAAATGGAAGAATCAATTTGGCTGCCATATAGAGATAAATTAGTGTAAGGATGGATTCCACGAAATTGCACTTTCAGTTTTTAACTTTTTAATAGAAAGATAAAAGTTCAAGCTCCAATGTCAGACTTTTCCAAAGCTGGAATATCTGGTGTTATGCGTTATGAATTTATAAAAACGCGTTTTTTAGGGTTTCAACCCATTTTTTCTTAAAAACCTTACATGACACAATTTTTTAGGTCATATTCGTATTTCGTAGTGTATCCTATTTACCAAAGAACGACTCTTCATGAGAAAAATGCAAGAAATTTGTAACATGGTGTAATTTTATTTTCACACAGTAGACAAGTAATTTTTTAATAAAAAAATCTAGCCTACAAAAAATTCTGGAAAAAATATATATTATATTTTGACATATGAAGAATATTTAATAAAATTTTTAGTCTCCTATCTTAACACATTGGCAATAGGGCATTACGCGCCGTGCTTGACGTGAGTATGGGGCGGTTTCGCGTCTATACTCGGGTAATATTAGAAAAAATTTTGTTGTAACTCTTTATCTAATAAATATTATGATATTAAAAATATGAAAAGTACACTTTCTTCTCTCCCAAAGAAACGTATGCCTTCGCGTCATCCGCACCCAAGTTAAAAACCTAAATAACGCATCTATGCGTCATCTGTCGCCAATGTGTTAAAAACTTTCCAAAAAACCAGATTTTTTATAAAAATCGCTCTTTTTTCAACTTTGTTTCTTTATAAATAATTAGAAATGAACAATTGGGTATAAAGACCATGGAAAATATGTATTAGACCATGGTAAAGTAAGTATTAATATATAAAAAAAATGTAAAATCATAATTGGTTTTATTAAACTGTGAATAGTACATAAAAATGAAAAAGAAAAAAGGAAATATACTTTCTACTGCCACACAAAGGGTTAAATCAAGTAATATTTTTATTAATTTAATTATATTTTAATTGGTTTAGTAGTAATAGCTTAATAGCTTAATTAGTAAATACTTATTTAAACATAGTAATACCTTAATTTGTAATTGAATTATTGAACATATAAATGTAAAATGGTTCTAAATTTGAGAGAACATTTACTAGAATTATATGCAATATTGCTTTTCTTCATTGAAAAAACTTAAAGGTTTTAAATCTAGATTTATCTCCAGTAAATACTTTCTAAAAATAAATTAAGATATTCTCAATATTAAGAATTTAATGCTTGTCACAATTGTTTTGATACATAAAAGTAAATGTCTACTTGTATGATGGAAATATCATATTGTATATATATAGTCAATTATATTGCTACTTCTAGTAATTATTTGTCAAGGAGTAACTATTTTATTTGAATCAAGTAAATATTATTTGAACGGTAGCATTTCTTTTCTTTCAATGTACACCTAATACATGTTTTGTGATTGACTGAACACATAAATGATACGTGATACGAATAGTTTTGCTTACGCGGTAGACAGTAAGAATCTGGTGTTATGATAAACTTAAATGTCATGTACAACGTATGCAGTCAGACTAACGACACGACAGCTCCAACGAAGGCTGAAAAGAATGAGAACGATTACATACAGCGACAGTTTAAGTGGGAGGACGAGCACACGGGTAATTTTCGAAGAATCTTTCCGTGCCCCGGCGAGGATAAGTACCGACACTTCTTCACGCAAAATGCGCTTTCCGTTTTCCAAGATACGGTGGCGTCGAGAGCGCGAGAAGAAGCATCGAGGATGCAGAGGGAAGAGAACGAAGTAAATGTTTCCATCGTTTCTTGATTTCGTTCTTAAAAGTCGCCGAGATTAAATTTTCGCGTTAATATTACGAGCATGATAAAGTTATCGATATCATAAAACGACTTGTTTGATTCGCTCCTTGCATAAATATCGTAAAATCGTAAAATAATGATTAGCAACACGAACAATAAAAAGATACAAAAGTTTTTCTGGATTTAATATACGTGTTTGCTTAATATAAATACTATAATTTAATATCAAATATTATTTTGTTTGAGTGAAAATATTGTTGTTTCATTAGATTATATTGTTTGATAGGAAAATAGTATTATTTAGAGGAAATAATATTTCGTTTCCAATAAAAAAATTTATTTAATTATATATAAATATATAATTAATATAATATAATATAAAAATATATATAATATAAAAATAAATATATTTATGTCAAATAACATACTTTTTCATATTTTCATCTGAACATTACAATGATTGTCTCAAGCAATAAATTATTAAAAAAAAACTAACACTATGTTAGAAAAATATTTAGTACTTCTTTTTGTTTCAGTGGAACTATATATATAATTATATAAAAAAAGTAAATAAATAAAAATATAGATATATAATTAATATAGATAGATATATAATTATATAAAAAAATAAATAAATAAAAATATATTTATTGCTTGAGAAATTAAATAATCCTGTTTATTGAATCAAATATTCGTCTGTTTGCTCAATTCCAAAAAATAAATTTATTTTAATTAAAGAAATTTTAATTAAATCTAAAGAAAATTGTTTTTTCTATGTATAATGATAATAAATATAGTTTTCTATAAAGATAATAAGAAGCTCATCAGGGATCGCCAATCGTGATCGTTGGAATTCTTCGTTGACAATTTTTGAAAGTCATGTCTCGTCGCTAATTGTTTGTTGACCTTTCCTCACTTACGGATTGTTTCACCATTTTCCAGTTAAAAGTACGGGAGGAAGAGCGCAAAAAGATATCTGGGAAATGGAGCGAGCATAAAATAGGTCCGGAAAGTCCGAATGCGCCGAAGAAATTACATTCCACGTTTATACGACAGGAGAAGAGCACGTCCGCAGGCGTGTTTAACAAAAATGTCAGTGTACTTAATCGTTCTATTCTCGAAATTCAATGGTGTTATCCGTGTTCATTCTTAATCGTTTAACATATTGCCAATCGCGCCTCTTACCTCTTACCGTCGAAAATTACACATTTCGTATATAGTACGCGATATAACATATCTTGATCTAAATTTTTACAATTCTCAGAATGATAACGGTTTAGTTGTAAAAAATAGTGAGAAAAATGACTTTCATCCTTGAAAAAATAAAGAAAATAGCGAAAATCAGCTTTAAAACAGAAGTGAATATAAAGTGAATCTTTTCCAAGTAATCTGTTAAAAATTAATTATTTGATTATTAGCTTTTTTGCGTTCGTTTCCCAAATAAAAATGTAATGATCACATTTTATCACAATGTGATATGTTATAATATTATTTGTGACAATGTCATATTGTGACTTCAACTTAATACCTTTTTAGAGATCATTACATAATTGATATCACATAAATACAAAATGTAATATAATGTACGCAAATGATGTGTACATATTCTTGACGCGATTATGATTGATGCTATTAGATGAGATATTTTTCTAATATCTTGACATGAACGACATCTAAACAGCGCATGCGCACACATCTGTATCTATTCTTGTCCTCACGTTTTGACTATTATGGACAAAATGAAGTCAGATTGAATACATTTTGCTCACTGGGGTTGTTAATAACTCATTTTAGCTTGGTAGTTAGACCAGAATTATGGTTGGATAAACATGGACAGATTGTGGACAATCGATTTCATTACATAATTTAAAGAAAAGACAATCAGATGTGCTTATGACAATCATTGTCTATTTTTCTGACAAATCTGATAGAAACAGCTTAAAAATTTAATCCCGGTTCTTCATTTTTATGAACATTGTGTCGTCAGAGTTATTATTACTTTCTTTTTTTTTTATTTTTTGCCTTCAAAGAAGCTAGTTACCGAACATGATTTCTTATTATCAATTTTTCTTATTTGAAAGAATTCTTTGAATCGAAATTTTTATTTTATTTTCGACCTGAAGATTTCATTTAACGCCTATTTTGATATTCTAAAGCCTGTATGAACCTTATCTGTTTTTATTTAACTTTCCTAGCTGAAACTGTAGCTTTACTATTGACTTGAATAGTCCATGAAAAATCTAGTAAGGCACTTTGTAACCAACAGCAACTTTTTTTATTCTTTTTAATCTAGCTTCTATTTAAAATCTAAATACAGCTTCTATTTAAAATCAAAATTCTACTTGTAGATAGTTTTGTTGCTCTTACTGAGATACTTTTAAATTTTTCTTAAGTTTTTATAATATAAGTAAGCCAAATATAAATAAATCAATACTTTTCTTTTTTTATAATTAATTAAAATAATTAAGATTTTAGGTTATTGCAATAAACATTATTGCTGAGTACACCTGAGTCGAGTGCTATGTTTATAGATCATTAATGAGCCACGGTAGATTTCTCATTCTAATTGTTAAAAATCTTCAACATTAAGATATTTGTATATCATATAATATTATGCATCGATCAATATTGTAAAATTCATTTGACAATATTTATTTATATTAACAGATTTTTACTTTTCATAAGAGAAAATATTACTATATAAATTTTATAATATTACTAATTGATATACATAATAAAATATATAATATATAATAATTATAAAATAAATAATAATTTGAATATTATAAATTGTTAACAGTTTAAACGAGAAATTTACCATGATCTATGCGGTAATAATGAATATATTATCTTAATAAGATTAGAGAAACAGGTTAAGTTTGGAGGACCCAGAGGGTTTTACGAGGCTTTGCTGAGATCCTCTTTAGAACAAGTATTTACATTTTGTACGTTTATTGCCATTTAGAGGCACTAAATAGAACTTTCTATATAAAGTTTCTATATAAATTAAACTTACATTAAGCAAAAAAAGTGAAACGTTCTCATATCCGATTTCTTGTAATGTAGGAAGCGGTGTAATAAAATTTGAAGGAAAAATAATTTTTCTCCATAGATCATAAAAAATTTAGGTTGACTAGTTGATTACTGGTCGTCGAGAAAAGGGTAAATCTAACGGATCGATTGGCAATGTGTTAAGATCACCAGGGAAAAGGCGAGATTTATCTCCGTCTTTCCATGTTCACTTCATCGGTGCACCGTTTCCGCACCACGCTACTCATCCATTTCGCCACGTTTCATTTCGAAAACTGCGCACAACAGCGCGAGTATCATCATCGTCGCGCTTTCTGCAGTAATGCGCCGATCCTCGCGGGATAGCCCATCGTCTCGTCGCGGAAAAGAAACGAACGAGCGAGAGTATTATCGTCCTCCTGTCTTTTCGCAGATCAATAAGCAGGACACGCAAGGGGCTCCTACCGGCAGCAGTAGCAGTAGCAGCACCCTGTACTCCTTCGAGCCCGAAATCATATCGGAGTCTGAGGAGAGGGAGCGAATCACGGCATTGGCGCAAAGGGATTTTCTCATCAAGAGCTACGGCATGCTCGAGCAGATATACACGGCGATGAAGAGGAACGGCACGTTACGACCTGCCGACGAGAGGAAGTACGGCCTGTATGGCAGGCTGGGACACGCGAGCCAGAGCGCGTGTATCTTCCCCTCGCGCGGATTCCATCATCGCCGAAATGGCCATCTGGACGGCACGCAAATAGCCGCGGTTCAATGCCAGCAATGTTCTCTCCGAGAAAACGACGTAACTATAGCCGCTTTACGTCGACGGAGACCTCTCGTTTATTTCGCGATCTAATCTTTTCCCCTCACCCCTATATATCCCCTTTTTACACGCGTCTTTACGTCCTTCACCCAAAACGAAACGAGCCCCCGTTGAGAAATGTTTATTTGAAAATGTTAGAAAATATGCGTGTCCTCTTCTCCTTTTCTTTGTAGCACGGCAAACTGGTGAGACACGTATACGAGGACAAGTCAGACAGAAGTGAGCATCGGCGTCTCGAGAATTATAATTGATATGATCGAAGTTTTGCTTTTTCTTCTTTCGACGATTTGCGTTCGAAGTGGGCAGGCAGATCTGAACTTGTAAAAAGTGGTTAAAATTATACTCGCTACAGACAATAATTAATTGAATACTAATACGAATCCTTTTGTAAGTTATTTATGCTGCGTATTGACGATAAAAATACAAGGTATCCGGAAAGTTTTGATAAAACGATTCTGTGCAGGTGAAATGGTTTAAACTGAATGGGAAAGTTATGTACATGAAAATTATATATTTTGCAAGATTCACAATAGTTAGTGAGTAATTAATTAATCTGTCTGAACGAATGAGCGCACAGAAAGCGATAGGCTACTAGCCTAGCTTACATTAAGCATGTAAAATGGCAAGAAAAATCGTTTATTTAGCATTCCCTAACAACGGTAAATGATAACTGATTTCGAATGATGGAATAACGCAACTTATCTCACATCGCTCGCTGCTTGCTGCGTTACTTTCGAAGTCAGTTGTTGCTTATCTTTGCTACGAGATCCTAAGAAGTAAATTATTTTTTTTACATATTCGAAGTCAGCTTTCTTTGTATGTTACGGAGTTCGACTTATCGCTTCTTGTGCGCTTATTCGCTTAGATTAATTAATTACTTATTAATTATTATGAATTTTGCAAAATGGTACAAAACTTTCCTACTCGATTTAATCTATTCTATCTGTACACGACTGCTTCGTTAAAAGTTTCCGCACACTGTGTATATTTGAGAAATTGAGAAATATTAACATATGGAGCTGCTGCAATCCGATTCGTCCTGCGCTGTACATTGTGGTTTCATAAACATAACTCAAAAACGAACAAGATTATATAACCAAAATATACCAGCTTGCGGATCTTGATGATGTTCTTAATCTCGCAAATTTTACCAAGGCGAGTCAACACCTCCATATTTTTAATTTTATCCACCTAACTGATTCGGAGCATATGATGGTAAATTCCTCATTTCGAAAGTCTTTTCATGTGAAGCTCCGTCAGCGTCCAGCTTTCAACACTATACAATAGTATCGAAAAGACATAGCCCCTCACCAGCCGAATTCTCAGCTTCGTACTAATGTAATTCCTACATAAAACTTTCTTCATGTTGTGAAAGGCCGCTCTTGCTCTTTCAATTCTTATTTTGATTGAGGTCATATCCCACTTTTCGTTTAGATACAACCCAGATAAGATAATCGGAGAGATTATCTGGAGTGGAGAACTCTTTACAATACTTTACCATATACCGTTATGAGCAGAAGATTTGCGGTGTTTTATTGATGACCATGACTTTAGTCTTTGCTGTATTCAACTTTAACTCATATTCATTATACGCCTTTGTTACTTTCTTAATGAGGCATTGAAGTTCCCCTGGGGTAATGCAATCAATACAGTCATCCGCGTATCTTAAGTTATTCACAGGCATTTCATTTACCTTCACTCCAACAGGCAAGTCACTCAGCGCTTTCTCAAAGATGGTTTCTGAGTAAATATTAAAAAGGAGCGATGACTATATACTCCTATATATACTCAATATATACCCCTGTCTTACGCCTCTCTTAATTTCAATATCTTCTGAGCGACTTTGGCCTAATCTCACGTTTGCACTCTGATTCCAATATAAGTTCTTTATGATACGAAGATCTTTATCGTTTATCTTGTTCTTAAGAATTTCTATCAGCTTATCATGTTGGATCCTGTCAAATGTCTTCTCAAAATCTATGAAACATAAATATATTTTCATGATTTCATGGTTAACACCCCGGCAACGTTGTACTAACACCTGCATGCTGAATAAAATCTCTTTGATTCCTAAGTTGTTCCGGAATTCGAATTGGGTTTGGCTTATATGTTCCTCTAATTTGTTGTATATTCTGGAGTAAATGATGCGAAGAAATATCTTAAGGACATGACTCATCACACTTATTATTGTTCTATATTAGGAACATTCCTTAGCGTTAACCTTCTTAGGTAGCGCCATAAACGTTGACAATAACCAATCGAAAGGTATCATCTCCGGTATTATATCTGCCTCGTATATCTCATTAAATAAACGCCACAAGCGCCTCTTTCCCTCTACGTCAAGGAGCTTCAGAATTTCGGTTGGGATTTTATCTAGTCTCACTGCTTTCCTTGTCTTGGCTGTTTTTATAGCACGTTCTATTTCTTTCATCGTTATTGACGGGCCATTCTGTACTCTCTCTAATCCTACATCTATTCTGGAGTCATTAAATAGGTCTTCTATATATTCTTTCCATCTCTCCAACTTTTTACAATCTTCGAAAATAAACCTCTCTTCCTTATCTACCAGATTAGTTGTTCTCCTTTTATATTATATTAATTTATATTATATTATATATTTATATTATATATTTTTATATTATATTAATATATACTTTTTATGTTATTATATTAATATATACCTTTTATATTATATTAATATATACCTACCTTTCTTTACCTTCCTGTGCAGATTAAAGTTGTCATGCTTTCGCTGGAGTTTTTCAATTTCAATACGCTTATCAGAAAACCACTTCTCATTCGCCAGTCGTATTTTCCGTTTAATTTCTCTTTGTAATTTCTCTTTGTTGTATCTAACCATGTCCTTATGTCGATATTCTCTTCTCATATCCATCAATCTCAATATTTCGTCTGTCATCCATGAATGTTTCTTGTATCTTCAATTTTTCTTTCTCTGGCTGATGGCATCGTGCATCGCTTCCCTTAGCTGTGACTAAAATTGATGTGTGTCACCCATTGATTCACTCTGGTTGACGAACTGGTCTTTTAATTGTTGCTTTATTACATCTGCGTGAAGGTCAAAGTATTCCGGATCCGTCCCGCTCTCTGGTGATCTATTTTAATTTGAGTTGTAATTCACTCAAAACTAGATTATGATCGGACGGTACATCCGCGCCAGGGTAACTCTTGACCGACTTCATCGCATTTCTACATCTTTGATTAATTATAATATAATCCATTTGGTTTCTGAAGGTATCAGCCGGGGACCAGGTATAAAGACGTCTTCGGAAATTTGAAAAATGTATTCATTATACACTCTTTATGCTCTTTGTAGAATCCTACGAATTTGTCACCCCTCTCATTCCGCGTGCCCAGACCGAAGTGGCCCACTAATCCTCCCTTTCTTCTCCCATCTTCGTATTCAAATCGGTCATAAGAATTGTGAGGTCTTGCTTTTTCAATTGCTTCATTACATCTACAATATCTCTATAGAATTTTTCGATGTGTTCTTCATCGCTATCTGCGGTGGGGGCATAAACTTGGATGATGTTTAAATTTACGGGTTTCACTTTCAATTGAATTAACATAATTCTATCGGACATAGGTAAAAAGGACTTAACGTATTTAGCCACTTCCTTTGTTAAAATTATTCTTACTCCATTACAATGGTAATTACCATCTTCGCCGGAGTAATATATGGTATGATCTTCTACTATACATTTACCAGACTCAGGCCAACGCATTTCACTAATGCCTAAAATTGCTATATTGAGTCTATCTATTTCCTTAATGGCATTATGAGTTTTACCGACCTCAAAGAGACTCCTCATATACCAAGTTCCTATCCGCAATCTCGCTGTACCGTCAATATTGGCTGTCCAGGAGATTCTTAGCAGCCCTGTTTTATGTAAGGAACGCCCGCATTCGGGGCCGTTATTCGAGTTCGCAGTCGAAAATATATACATTCTTAAATCTATAGTTTTTCATGAAAGCAATTGTTGATTCTATTTAAATATTTAAATAACAAGACTTGGATTTAAATAAATATGTTATTAGTACCAACGAATATTTTTTTTATTTTTTAGATATTTTTCCTTCAATGTACAAATCTAACTAAAAACTCTATTCAAAAAATATTTATATAAATTCTATTGCAATAAAAAGCACTTCATTTTTGCAATGTTTTTGTTTTTTCTTGCTGCCATTTTGTTAATATTTATTAATTCCCTTTTTCCCTAATGTTAATATTTATTAATTTCCTTTTTCCCTTTTTCCCTTTCAATCTACAAAGGAAAATTTGTAAAACACAGCATCGTTCGTCTCTATTAAAAATGTCAATCAGATTATTCGTAATCCTTGCAAAGCTACAGCTTTACGCGATATATATTGTGGAATAGGTCGAGCTGCGACTCTCTGTATGTATATAATTAATATTTTTTAATTTCTTAATGTATTTTTATCGTTAATATATGGTATAATAAATTGCTCACAAAAAGATTTCAAATTCAAATTCAATGAATTCCCATATTTCTAGTACCGAATAAAATTTTACCGTTAAACTTTCCATAAGTTCAAGCCTTTCTAGTCCCTTTAAGTACACAGAAAAAAGTTTAGTGTTAAAAACGGTTTATTGAAATTTTGTGTTACTTTAACACGGAAAATGTATTAACCCTTATCGGTCGTAAGTCACCTCTCACGTGACAACAATACTTCGTCGCTGCGGTCGTACGTCAAGTAGGAGGTGACAAGTTCGCATATTTACCGAAACCAGCTACAACCTAGTGAGAATCACGCATAAAAAGCTAGCGTCCGATAAGGATTAAAAAGTACACAAATATAATGTTAAATTGATATTTACTTGTCAACGTATGTTAATTTAACATCATATTTCTATACTTTTTAATATATTCTCTCTGTTAAAGTAACATAAAATTTCAGTGACCTGTTTTAAAGGCTCTTGATCCTTCGCTGTAATTGTCTTTGTTTGATGACGTCAGAAGCGAGAAATCATATGCCAAAATATGTTACGGTGTACGTGGAAATAAAAAAATATATGCACAAAATGGCACTCGTAATCGATTTAGCACATTTGTAAAAATCTCCTTTAATCTGAACAGTTAATAAATAGCCGTAAAATTAACGTAACAGAAAGAATGAACAAAAAATAGGTTAAAAACGCAAATTGTGTATTATATTAATTTTCGACTTTTATTGATTGATGAGGTTAAAGGAAAGCACCCGGATATTTACAAATGTACCAAATCAATCACGAGTGTCATTTTGTGCGTATATTCTTTCATCTTGACATGTATTTTAATATATTTTGGCATACGATTTCTCATTCCTGACGTCACCAAAGAAGGGGGAATCCGTCACATAAATTGGCATGATTTACTTCGCTTATGACAACACCAAAGAATGATAGCCATAATAAGTATTCAGGAGCCTTAACGCAAAACTGTTTTCTGGGTTTAGCGAATTCAGTCACCTGTACTACACCGAATTAGTGTATGCTGAAGGTTGCTATGCATAAAACAGTTATTTAAATAAAAAAGCATATAAGCATTGTAAACGATTACATACCTATATAATAATATAATTATGTCATTCAATAGAACATATATTAATTTTGTCGTTAAAATAATCAGGTTAGGCTATTGCATTTGGATTTTTATGTGTAGCGGCTTTTAGTGTGCACTAATCCGATGCAGGTGATCGAATTCGCTATATAACAAAATCCGAATATCATCATATAATATAATATTATAATTATAATTTAGGCTTAAGGATAACGTGTAACGAGGCGCTTGTTTACGTCCGTCCGAAAATCCCGCAGAAGTTTTGGATGGAGGATACAAGCTGCAACGACCACAAGGGCCGGCTAACGAAGGCTCACGTCGCCAGAACACTATCGAATACCGTACGCCTACACACGCTCGAGAAGAGAGAATCTTTCCACTCTTCCAAGTCTTCTAAGTGAGCCTCGCCCGTGTGGTTTTATTCGCTTTATCGCGATCCAACTTTTACCTATTAAGAAACTCCAACTTAAAATATATATACATTACGTACGACCAAATGATTCTAGAATCGACGTTATCGGCCAGCACTGAGCGTGAAGTGAACGCATCTTACGAGATAAAAGAAAAGAAGCCGAAATAATAGAATAAAAAAAAACCTCTATAAGTAACGCGAAAATGCTGAACTGATCAAAGTGATCGAAGAGAAATCCAAATAGCTACCGTGAAAACGCATCGCGATATCCTAATCGTGATCATAATCATTCTTAACCGAAGGCTATCCATCAAATGAAAAAGAATGATAATAACGAGACCCGTGCCCTCCGTTGTGACAAAAAAACATAACTTCACGATGAATCATGCTATATGTGGATATTCTTATTACATATATATGTACAAAAGAGATTCTCCCTCTTCTGCCGTGCCGTATTAGGAATAATCGGTGTAAATTATTCATCTCGAGGAGCCACGGAGGAGCCGAGGAGATCGAAACCCCGAAACCTCCCGAACTCGACGGACCTGAGGACACGAAAATGTTTCGGTTGTGTGAACGGATGCTATTTCAAGGTATAGAACAGTAATATAAAAATCAACAATGTATCGATTTGTTATTTAAAGTGCCATATAAATATGTACAATAGATATACGAGTGAACATGTACACGCGTCGCATAAGAGTGTGGGAGTTAGGTACGCGTCGCTGCGTATGCAAAATGATCACATACGTACACGCCAGTCTATAATACGTATAACAATTTTTATTGCTGATATATATTCTGTATTCACATGATAATAAAAAATAATCTATGAACAATTTGTCGTGTGTGCTGATTTCTTTTTTTTTTCATTCTTTCTGGCTTCTTTTTCCTTCTTCCTTTTTTTTGCCTCGTCATGATATTTTGTGTCCACATGTAATCGAAAAACGCGCGGTATTCCTCTCACCTGCTAACACCGTTTCTACCTTTCTCCCTCTTTGTTTCTCCATCTTTCTCTCTCTTCGCGTTATTGTTTGCTGTTTATTATTCGTTTTTATCGTTCTTGTGCCGCATTGTCGGGACAACGAGGATCAGCCCGTTTTTGCCCGTTTTATAGGACGAGGTCGCGTTGTTTCTCATCGAGTGTTTCGCGCACGACGTGATCGAGAATCGGAAAATCCTTGCGCGTCTCGCGGGGATAACAGTGTGTAGTCCGCACATATTTTCATTTTTTCTTTCTTTTTATACAAAGTAATACTGCGTACGATACAAAGCGGTGCGCCGAATCCCGGCAACAACGGCGACGACGACGATGATGATGACGAAGTAATCGTGCGGTTGCTGCCCCCTTTCTTAAATTTCTAAATCGCGCGTGTGCGGACCTCCTGAGTTTTACAATCTTCTCACTCAACTATGAAACTTAACGCGTTTTAATAATATAGCGGCACGAGCCGCAAGATCCACACGCATCGCGACGTTATTGATAATAACGTCGGTACTCCAATCGAAGGTGAATTTGCGCCTCCTACGTTTATGCCTCATTTGTAAGAACAAGAATTAGTGCGTAATACATCCAACACATTACGATCGGTGATTCGTTAACGTGATATATATTATTTACATAAAATTATGTGTATGTATGTGTGTGGGTGTGTGAGTGTGTACATGCTTGTGTTTTTGCGGCGGATATTTGCGCGTCATTTGATTCCCACCATATTAAAATCTTAGATATAGAAAGGCTTATGTACATAAAGTCAATAGATTACGATGTAGCCTATTGTACCGTTTATAAAAAGACAACTCAAAGATCGTAAATATATATATGTATATATAATAATAATCTATATATATACATATATATTTATATTTATATATGTATATTATGCGAAATATCTCCATCTCCGTTTAAAAAGTCGTCACGTGTGTTTCGGTATGTACATACTTCCGCTGAAAATAAAGGTAACTGTGTTTGAAGGAAGTGCAATGAGACAAATAGTTGGACACGTACGAAATGCATTTGTTTCGAACAGATTTTACAGGGGGAGTTAAGCTCTACCGTCAAACTTATAGTTAACTTTCAATTATCGGTAAACGTAGAAAGCAATATTGTTATCTCAAGACAATTAACAGACATATATATATATGTATATATATATTACTATATGTAATAATATAAATCAAGATATTACTATATATGTACCAATGTATATGTTAATGTCTCCATTTACTTAACAGATATCACCATACACAAATTGCAAATGTGTGTGCATAGTAATACATGTTAAAACATTTACAGACATTAACATATATCGAGAGGCGTGCTCTGTGTCCCGGCGGACGTGCAGCAATCGTCTTTTAAAATTATATCACTTATAATTTAATTCTGCGTGAGAGACAGACGTTATCTTTAGTTACTTAAATTACAGCTCATTTGTACTAGAAAAACGATTTCCTCCATTGTCTCAGCCGTGGACAACGTTATTTATTCGTGTGTGTGAGTTTTGTAAATCGCTTAATCCCCTGCATTATTTTTTTTAACTCTTGTAATAAAAGCAACGTTAAGAGTTCTTTTTTCGTATCTTTTCCTTTTCAACGCGTGACCTTCCTCCCCGTATGAGAAAATATAGAAAGAAGATATGTGAAAATGGTATTTCTATTCGTTGTAATACTAATATGAGCATTATGTAGTTATAGGATCCTGTGTATGTTACTCACATGTAATATGTGTTAAAAACGATTACAATAAAACAAGCTTAAAGCATGAATTACACGGAGACTTCGAGTTCGAAAGATCCCGAGAGTAATTGATAAATCTGCTTAGTCGCGAAAACGGCGCGGTCATTTACTAATTACTTCGATATACTCTCGCTGTTCCGAGTCAGAGTCAGATCTCCGTTTAATACAGGCGCGTTAAATGATAACTGGCTATATTTCATATACATATAAAAAACTATACAATCCGTAGACTCGATAATTTTGTGTTAGCTGCCGACGGAATTTAGTTTTTCTTTTCTTTTCTCGTTTCCCCTAACAGTTAACCTCTCCTATGACAATAATACTCAGTTCTTTTCAATATTTCATCATATCGTCGATACTGTAAATCTGGCAGAATGATGTAGATTTGCGCTAGCTAGTTAGAAATTATTAAATATGCACAGATTTCTTCGTCGTGGATATTTTCTTCCTTTCTTTTTTTTTCGCTTTGTTTTAGGGACGTAGCTTCATCTTATTCGGAAGTAGCTTAAATTTGAGTTATCTTTCGCGTATAGACGCGGCCGAGGCGGCGGATGAATTGCAAATTATAAGAGCGAGTACTCGCAGAAGATATGTAATTTGCAGCACGCTTTTGTAAATATTACAATTCCAATCGTACAGATCCGAAGTTTTCAGCGTTTTCTCGACTCGCCTAGATGTACGAGGCTTATGCTGATTCTATTTCCTATCGAGTTTTCTATTATAAAATCTTTCACAGTAAAAAAACGTGCGCGTTTATATCAGTCAAATAAATTCCTGCTCTGTGTGCGCGCGCGCAAGCAATCTCATTAAAGATTACCTTATAAATTAAACGTATCGCTTTCATTAACCCTGAAACTTTTTACACAACTTTAGAGATACATAGCTTATACCCTTATTTAACCGCAGTCAAACCAGGAGCTTAAACCATGGCAACAATATATTATTAGCAAAATTATAGTTATAATATAAAAAAATAAAAAGATTACTTTAGAATTATATTAATAATTGTGTGGAATACTCGACAATGGACAAAAAGAAAAAATCTGAAGCTGCAGACAGATGGGTTTCAATAACGAGTATATTTCCTATTGACGCGCTATTAAAAGCATCGCTTCGTTATTAAATCCAGCTGCCTCGCATCTTTGCAGAGTTTCGGGCTTTCTCTTAGATTCATCGGCATTGCCGGTATTCCTAATAAGATCTTTTCAAAAATATATGTAAATTAAATCGTATAATTTACACATACAAAAAGAAGAAGATTTATTGCCACATTATTTGCAACCTCATTGTATGTTCTTATATTTGATGTAGTATATTTGAAAGAGTATCAGTAATTACTTGTTTTGCGAGCCAAATAAATATATTATTTTACTTTCATTCCAGATTAAAAAGTCACAGCACTAAGATAAACCAAAGAAGCTGGCTTTACCATGGTTTATACTAAAATATGATTTATAAAAATACAAGAATTGCAGCATTTCTAGTATATCGCCTGTGAGTACCAATACTGTATTTGAGTTTGTGTAAATCCGGCTCTTGAATGGAATTGATCCATTCAACCACGATTGTATTGAGTCTTAGACTTAAATTTAATAAAAACATGTACATTCAACAATAAAAATAGGACTTGTGTTGTAACAAGTTCTTATACCGGTGATCAATCAATATATAATTTTGATCACAATAAATATATCTATATGTGAAAGGCGATACATTCATTATTCACGATAAACTAAAGATGTTTTAATTTATATTCCCAGTTGTATATGTGTACTCAAACGCACTTATGTTCTCCCCGTTAGTTTATAAATAATACGATTGCATGACAAAATCGAAGCGTGATCAATAATATTACTTCAAACAGCACTTACGTCTTTTTGTAAAACTGTCACATTGATGCAAGGATTGAAAAAATTTGCAAGATTCTTGAGCGACAACTCTAATACTCAATGACAAATGGTACTCAGGTCAAATTTTCTGTTTATAAGATTGTGACATTATCAACTTCTCAGAACTCACCACTTCCGAATCACCAATTATGGAGATGATAACATTTATTATGATGTTTATCAGGAACGTTTATATAGGATAAAACAAAGTAAGACGACACGATTGTTCATGGCTCGTCTCCAATAATATACGTCTGCTTCACATTTAACTCCTAAAACTCACTTTAAACGATTCAGATAGAACTCGAGGCAGGATTCCATTTATGAGAGAACCTTGGAAGAATTTATAGATGCATACATATTCCTATGTCATATACATCTATAAATACTCTATAAACACTCATTCTATCTTTTTATACATATGATATTAAAAATAGAATTCTGTCCCGCATCCTGTTGTAAATTACAGATCGTCTAAAGTGAACTTAACGCTTGTAGGTACCGTTAATTTCGAATTAAATGCAATTAGTCGTAAGAATACTAGGTCCTTCGAACCTTACATATTTTATATTATCATTTAACATTCTCCTGTCCATTTTTGCTTCGCATAAATGTTCCTGGCTAAACATTCTTCCAGAACATCTTATGTCACGTTAATCGTTAAAAACAGAGTCTAGCCAGTGTTACTTTTTTCTTTATATCTGCCGAAATTCAACTTTAAATTATTGATAAATCTTGCTTATGAATCCACTTGTCATGAACAGACTCAAAATTTAAAATAACCCTTAGTCGTGTTTTTTCTGCTTTCGCATTTACCGTTTTACGTCTCACAATGATATTCTAATATTTCAACAAGTTAAAGCTAAGTTGTTAACAAACAGTGTATTTTTTTCTTTATATTGTACGCACGACTTCGTACGTGTGGTAGTATTTACTGTGTGCTATGGATGTGTGTACGTGTGTTTCCGTGTATGTGTACGTGTATGTGCACAATCGCACGCACATACGTGCGCATACATACGTAAACGCTAACAAAGAGTCACTGGGACGTCGCATGAACGACGGGACAAGAAGTGTTATGGTTTAAACTTAACTGGGGGTACGTTTTTCGACTGCAAACACTTATCACAAACCCACTCTGCATAAACTTGTTGCGTTAATAATTGATAGGCGTATTCGGACAATCCTGTGCAAATCCTGCAAACACACGTCGTCGGTGTTACGCGAGATATTTTATATTCATGCGATATTATCACTTATTGATCATTATATCACCGACTCACCTGTGAAACCAAAAATTACAACCTGATTCGCACAGAATTGCCTGGTCATTGTCGTGCACTTCTTTATGACAAACCCCGCAAGGATAAATTGGTGGCGCATTGGGGTTCTGTGGATTGAATACCATCGGTTGATCCGGAGGATATACCTGCAAGAAATCGGTAAGAATTGCGGTAAGAATTCGATCGATAACGTTACCCCGAGTATATCGCGACCAATTGTATCAGGCTAACTAGGAAATATCGCAAACTATTGCACATATCACGATAAACGTAAGAAACAATTACCTTGCCCGCGGAAACTGGCATCGGCTTTGGACCCATCCCAGGCGGACCTTGAAATCCATGCGGAGGCATGGATCCTCCCATGTTAATCGGATGTCCCATAGGCGGCCCAGCGCCCATATTATTCGGCAACGTACCGATCGGCATTCCCATGTGGCTCATTTGATTGTGATGACTCATATTCATATTCGACATATTATTAATAGCCGCACTACCCATGTTCATATTGTTAATCTGACTCGGACCCGTCATATTCATATTGCTCGACGCCATTGAACTCATTGTGGTCATGGGTCCGTTCATGGGTCTGCCTAAATTGTTAAGATTGCTTCCCATGTGATTCGGATGAGGTTGAGATCCGTTGTGCCCTAGCGGACTATTCACGTTGTTTAACGATGGCCCATTTAACGGGCTATTGGGCGGTATATGGCTGTTCATGTTGTTCATATTCATTGGTCCATTAGGCATGTGATTGGATCCTCCCATGGTATTCATTGGGGAACCGAGAGGCCCACCCATAGGACTACCCATATTGTGGCCCATATTGTTCATCGGACTGCCCATGGGCGCACTGTTCATATTATTCATCGGACTGCCCATCGGCGGGCCACTCAACTGCGAATTCCCCATGTGGCTCATATTCATGTGATTGTTCATGGTGTTCATCGGACCGGGCGGCATGTTTGGACCCATATTATTCATGGGACTCATACCGCCGATGGGAGTGTGGTTCATAGGGGACATGGCCCCCATATGATTCATGTGATTTGTCATAGGGGAATTGCCCATAGGGCTCATGTTGCCCATGTTGTGCGGCATCATGGGACTTATGCCACCTATCGAAGTTAAAGGACTCATGCCTCGCATAGGAGGCCCACCCATGTGATGAGGATGATGAGGATGCATATGCGGAGGCCCACCGTGCATCATTGGGCTCTGTGTGGCTTGTGGTGGTGTGTCGTCGAAGGGGTTACTCGCTACGATCGTGTCACCATAACCCGTTAGAGGCGGGGGTAGTAAATCCTGTTGGACAACAAATGTGTCGTATTAATGTGGAACTATTGCTGATCCAACGCAGATATCTATTCCATCGTAATGTAAAAACCATTAACACACCTGTACAGACGGAGGTTGTTGTGGGGGTGGTTGGGCAACGCTCGTATTTGTACGTCTTTTCTTCTTGGGATTAGCACCTGCCGGTGGTGGTGGTGGTGGATGGGGATGAGCAGCAGAGTCAGGATGCGGAGCATTGGGGCCCATGCTCACACCCATTCCCATACCCCCCAATGGCATCCTCGTGAAGGGTGGCATGCCTGTTATATTGTGGCTCATCTCCCTCGTTCGCTTCCCTTATTTTATCATGCCAGCACCACTGGATTTTGATGGCGAATAAGTATTGCTGATCTGCTGCTAAAGTACAGGGGAGAACAACTTTGATTATATATATGAACTTAAAGCTACATTGGGATTATCCTATGTCAATTATTTCTTTTTATTTCACATATGCACAAACATATATGTACATATATATGAATACAATGAATGGTAAGTTGATAGTCTAGCCAAAATTCAGAGACAATTATCTGATTATTTATAAAAATTTCCGTGTATGAGTTTTATGATCACTGATATTAAATAGATATGACATAAAATTTGAAAATTCAACATGATGTATGCGATATGATAGGTATAAAAATGAAACGTGTCATTTAAATTTCATGAAAATGCTGCGATTTTCTGTTCACAGATTTTAAATATATTTCATATTTGAAACATGTATGAATGCATATATATATGTATATATATATATATATATATATATTTTTTTTTTTAATAACTAAATCTGTAAAAAATATCGTCTTTTTTGGAATAAAAAAATCTGCATATTATTGTTATAAAACAATTTATTTGTAATAGAGAATGAAGATAAAATTATTGTGATTATTAATAACCCAAAAATTCACCTAAACAGTTTAAATTAGCAAATTGGAGATAATAGTTTGGTTTTAAAGGCTAATGTGTGAATTTATTAAAAAATATTAGCTTGCACCTATTCATGACTGAATGTTACTATCTTCTTAATAAGAAATACTAGGTTATTGCTTTTAACTTATATTTTCTTGCATGATTCGTTAACACTGTTTACATCTAAGCCAAATTAAATGTAAATGAATTAAATATAATAAAAGACACATGCTCACCACAGAATATTTATATATAAATATAGAAACTACACACACATATAAAGTATACGAACGCTCCAGATTTTGCACTGCTCACCGTTAAAACAACAACAAAACAGGAAATATTCGTACAAGATACGAAAGAGCGGAAACAGATTGCTAATCACAATCAGATATTTCAAAATATTTTCCACGAAAAGAGGATCTTTATAAGAATCCAGATAAGAGAGGTAATGTGCGAGAGAAACTCAAGTGCACGTGTAAACATCCGACACAACAAACGCGGCGAACATCATTGGCGAAAACGTCGTTTTCGAGGCTGCACTTGCGACCAAAGAGCACATAAGAAAATACAGTATCGCATCGTCCTTCCATTCGTTCTCGACGTGAAATTCACGGGTCTTATCATTCATAACATACTCGCGTACGACAGAGCGCGCGGTACACTCGCATAAATAATCACGACCGTGGATCGCGCGCGTACACCTCATATACACATACATATGTATGCACATATATACATGTATATAGATTACACACCGAACGTGCCGCCTACATTTGCATACGCCGATATAAATAACGAAATTATTACCGTTAAGTTCGCTCCGGCTAGCGTGCGAGTGATTCGTGCGTTCATCGTGAATGAGGAGAAACAGAGACACACACACACAAAAAGAGAGAGAAAGAGAGAGTTGACGAGACGAAGAAGAAACAGAATGGAGAATAGAATCCAGATAAAGAGAGAGACACACACACGAGTGAGACAGAGAGGGGAAGAGGAGAGAAGGAGATAGATAGGTAGATAAAGAGAGAAAAGGAGGGGGGGGGGGGAGGGAAGGAGAGAGAAAGACAGAAAGAGAGAGCAGGGACCGCACTCGCGACGCTCACGTACCTTCGATAAGAGCTTGACGATACAACAAATAGAGGATGCAGCCCGGACTGCAGTCGCGCGGACTGCAAAAGAGAGCAAAATAAATTTCCTCCTGGTAGTTTCGCAGACTAACCTAACCTAACCGCGCATTTCGAGCTCCGCCGAGCCGAGCGCCAGCAGGCTTACGGCGGCGGCAGCGACAGAGCAGCAGGCGAGGAGAGAGAGAAGCGTTTACATTGTGCGCGACGTGCAATCGGGTCGCGGCTGCCGCCGGGCGATTTAAAAAGCCGGGCATGATCCTGCGACGTCCGATCGTGCCGCCGCGATCGATACAGTCCCACTCACCAGCGCATTATAACGAGCTCGAAGACGCGGGAGCGTGCATGGCTCGGCCGAGGTTTTTTCGGCGAGGTCCACCAGTACCATGAATCGCGTGTGGCGGTGTGTCGGTCGCCTGGATGGCCTCAGCGGTCTGCTTGCGTGCGACTCCGACTCTCGCCTCTCGGCCAACGCATCTCTCACCGGCACGAACAATCCGAGCATTCACGAGCGCGCGTACGCGGCTACAAACAGCACTCGCGCGCGGACTCACAGAAGTAGACACACACGACACAGCGAGAGAACGCACGCCACGGTACTTCTCAGTTCGCCATTGTTGCGTTACGCGTGTCCCCCTATGCGCTTGTGTTGTCGCTGATCGAGAGTTACCGAGCACCGCCCGCAGATGGCGCGCGTGCGCGTGCCTACGCTCACTGTACTTACCCGCGTTCGGATGCTGGGGATGGTAAAGTAGAGCGCGCGCGGTAAAGCAGCGAACCATGTGGTGAGAATTTTCACGAAACTACACTCTCCGTGTGTGATATTTTCGGTATGATATTTTGCGAAAAACAGATTCTGCTTTACTTTGATTTTATTCCCCATGCTTTATTATATTTATACTATAATAGTTACATATTTTATATTTATACTGTACGAAGTGTCCCAAACTTTTCTCGGTTTCCGTGCAGATAGAACGAATGAAATTGCGCAGAAAAGTAATTTCACCATTTTGCAAAATACGCAATAGTTAACGAGGAATTAATTATTTGTCTGAGTTATTGAGCGCACGGGAAAAATGGCTTACATCTGAATATTTCCTGACAACGATGAACATCAACTGATAGCGAGAAGCACTTTTCGACGCACAATTCTGTATCGCATGCCACTCGCTGCTCGTTACGTTATTTCGCCTTTAGAAATCAGTTGATGCTCATCGTTGCTAAGAGTTTTTCAGAAGTAAGCCGTTTTTTTTTTTTATAGAGTTTGGCCCATGCATTCGTTAGCTCAGACAAAATATTAATTCCTCATTAACTATTGCGAACTTTGCAAAATGGTACACACGCCACGGGAACCGAGAAAGGTTTGGTATTTTTCTTTCGATCGCTCGTGTGAAGATAAAACGAGTTAAACTGAGTAGCAAAATCTTCTATCATTTTGCAAATAACCACGAAAAATTTCGAGTTATTAATAATTGAAAATGGTCATGTATAAAGGCTTTTTAAAGTAATAACTAATAAAAATATTTGCGCGTTACTTGTAAAATGGTACAGAACTTTGTTTTATAGAACTTTGTTCAGAGTGGTCTAATCTACAAGTCACAGCTGTTGTACTTAGCAACAAACATCGGTATATTAAACCTTGAACCTTGAAAACGTCCGTCTGCGAATAATATAAAGGAAAATGTTGCAACTAGCTATCATTGCGCCATAGAGTCGGAAAGATCATACGATCCTAGAAAAATTAACTGTTCAACATTCTAACTTCCCGTCATAAACTGACGTAACTCATCCTTACCCCCCCCCCTCCCCCCACAACTGAATCTCGCCACATTTTTCCCCTCTCACCCTCATGTCTCGCGTGCTCTCTTATGATTTGCTAACATTCTAAGGACCACGTCCATCCATTTTTCCTCCCGAAGATAGATGTTTCTAAAAAACCTAGGTCCCTCTCCTCAATCGTAGGAGTAGCCAATTTCTGTCTCCTACATCTCAAGGGTTGTAATCACCTTGTACACCTTTTCATTAAAAACCTATTGGGAAACCTCCCAACCTCCCACATCTCCTTTTCACGAAAATTGATCTCATTGGCAATCGTCATCTGCCACTCCCAAAATTCTCCCTATAAAATCCGATTCTCTTGCCGCCTCGCGCAGTACCTAACAATTTTTAGCAGTTCTCGCAGTTCTTTGCATTTTCATTCTTGGATTCTCATTCTCGGATTAGATACCCAGTCTCAAAGTTTTTTACGTTATAGTTTTCATTTGTTACCGTCACAGCCATTATGTTAGTTCTCATGTATATATGTTTACTAGTGTTTTATAGTAATCGTCCGATCAGAGCCATGTTCTGCGTATTATTCACCACAATTGATCCACCAAAATTATAAGTCTCTATTTCATATTTATTCATGATTTTTAATAATTTCACTCCGATCTCCAGTCCCACTTCACTTCTTAAACACGCACATACACAGCGTAATTATTATCTTCCTTGTATTATATAATGTTGTTATTCTCATCATACCGATATGTTAAACATTCTCGTTATGTTAAATCTGATTGTATTACATTAAGTTACAAAGATTACTTTTACTTTTAATCTTCATCTTTTATTTGTATTACTCGAATAACGCTGATTTATAAAAGTTCGTTTGATGTTAAGCTATATTTCTCATTATTTGACTTTAGCTAACCATTTCATCTTTTAAATATTGTATCTTTTACAATGACTTTTCTCATCAATTCATCACTATTGTTAATTCATGTAAGAAGTAAATTATGTTATTAATATAATTTGTATAATTAGTATAATAGTATAATAAACTCTTTTATTCAAAATGTCTTAAATTTAACTAAGTTTGTTACATTTACTTATTCATTTCCTTTCAATTACTTCAATCATAATTCCCCTTTCAACGCTCTCATATGGTCCTATACCAGGTAAAAAGAAGTTTTTTGACCTAAATAAAGGACCACATACGTTTTGAGAGTAAATGGGCTTTTCGGGACTTTGACTTATTAACTATATAACGAAGTTAAGGTCACGATCTTATGTCCTTCTCGAAACTACAAAAGTTTTGTATGAAACATTTTTCAATGAAAGGATTTGGTTTTGGAGAAATCTCAATGCGTCATTTAAAATAGGTCACCCTACTGTATAGAATTTCTTCTTATATAAGAGAATAAATTTTATTTTTATATAAATTTATATAAAATTTAAATAATATTAAAATTTATATAAAATTTACATATAAGATTATATATATATTTTTGCTTATACATGAGAACATGAGAATTTTGAATTGGTACTAATTTTTTTCTGTATACGTACACGAGCGTGAGCAAAGAGTTTTGCTCGCTCGAAAAGTGGACTAATCGAAAGATAAATGTTAACGGTGCGAATTAGCGTTGGTCTCCGTTGCACGTGTGCGTGTAGGTGCGTGAATTCGCACTGTGACACTCATCGCACGGTCCATCTTCCCACCCACATCCGGGCTTAAAGTTGCTCGCGACGCGGAGACGGTCTCGCACGCATAACTTTAATTATTTCGGTTACATCAGTAAGTCAGTCTGGCTCAACAAGCGGAAAACAACTCTCGCAGGTATCTACTTCGGACAGTTGCTTATGGTACACACGAATAAACCTACCCACACGACATACAGTTTCCGGAACTGTGATTATGCCATTGTCTCTTATCTGCTCGCTTTTATTTTAACACCGGGAGACCGCGATTACGCGTTATGCAATATATCTGCTGATAAATATAAACGATTGTCTTAGAGAAGCGTTGCGCGCGCACGCGCGAGCAGCAATGTTGCGCCCGCAAATAACAACGTAATGTCCCCGTCGGGAATCGTCAGGATTACGCGAGGTGCGTGTGCATACAATTAACGTGAAATAAGGTACCGCACTTTTATTGCGGAGCGTAAAAGTTTATCGGTGTTTTTACGGCAAGTGCCCTATACTTTTATTTTTCTACTAAACGGAATATTACGTAATAAAATAAGTAATCTCACAATTTTCATATCTTTTTACGATGGTTCCACGAATGCTCATAGAATAAAAACACTCTTAAATGAGATAAACATTTCCGGTAGGAAATGAACAAGCACAGAGCAGTGGAAAGTATTGAATGTCAAGATCCAAATTAGAGAAATAAAGTCTCGTTTACGGCGTAATTACACGTCCGTTCGACGCGACCAATGGGGGTTCGCGACGTACGCGAATTATATTTCATCGCGAAAGAGAAATTCTCATATATGGATTAGCTGTACGTCTATCATCCGAGCGGACAGACAAAATTAATACGATATCGGCCGTTCCTCGGAAAATAATATGAAAAAGTGGGGATATCGTCGTTCCTCGTTATCCGGCTGCGTGTGTGAACGGCCCTATCGATCTCATTAACTGTTTGGACACTCGCGATTTATTTTTATCGAAGGATGAGTATATCCCGAATCGCCGTTTTCGTCCAGGCAAAAGTGGTACAAATCGGAAGCGTCGCGAGCGGGCGAACGAGCGACCTGGAAAAACTGGGCCAATCCCCGAAGGGGAAAAAGCGGGAATGGCTCGTCCCGGGAGAATCTCGACCGGGACGACGGGGAAAGAGTATGACAAAAGACGCGAGGACGAGGGGAGGAAAGGATTTAATAAATTTCGCCGGAGTCCACTAAGTGGGGTAAATCATACGGTTATTGGCCACTTAAGGGACGTTCGTCTTCCTCGTTGCGGGCTTGCTGAAGGAAACGGTTCTATTCCGTGTAATATACGAGAGCTTGTAATTATCGAATCAGATTCCATTAAGAATGAAATCGCGCCGGGTGCTGAATATATATGTATATAAAGTGATATCGAATTTTGTCTTGTATTAAAGGTACATAAGAATACAGTTAGAGATATAGCCAGCAACGAGGTATCTATCTTTCAGGGGACTTCAGAAATATCTTCATCGTGTTTATCACACACTTAGATATTCTCCCCATTTAACTTCTGCATTAACATATTCACCTCGGCGAGCGAGACGTCTTGTCTCATCTCTTAAGTGAAAATCAGCCGAAGCGCACGCGCAAATGCGCCGAGTAAAAACTCGTCGGCGAAGATAACTCATGAAAATTCATCGGTCCTTCGTAGAAGCGATTTATCTCCACGTAAAAATCAAACGAGGAACTTTCTTTCTCTTCTCCACGAACAATTCGACGATAGCTCTCAATAAGTCCGAACAGTATCATTTGTCTATCACTATTGCTATAGAAAGTACTCACGAAAGTCTCGCACGGAAAAAGGTCGGAAATCCGGAAAAGGAATCGCACGATCGAAAGGGGCCTAAGGGACAGGAGAGGAGAGCGGGTGGCGAAGGATTCGCACGGAGTAGAGGGGTGCAATCCTGTTGCCTGGTGTGGCAATCGACCACCATCTACGCGAACGGATTCCGCAAACAGCGACATTTTCCCAAACAAAAACCGAGCGCCAATCAATCTGTCGCGCGCGGTGCACGCGTGTCCTGAATAAGAAGTGGGCGATTTGCACAAATTACGCGAAGACCGCGGTTATTCAGCCGGAGGACAGCCTCGAAAAGAAGCGACGGAGGTGGCACACCTGTCGAGGATAATCCCGCTAACCTTTCGCAGGCTCGTTACGACGACGTTCGCTTATGATCGCGCGCATCAGAGACGGGTGATGAATTTTTT